TCAGTGTCGAGATAAATGCATATTCTCATACCGTTCTCGTTGAATTTCGATTTCCCTAAAACAAAAAAAAAACCTAGAAAAAGTCGCGAGAGCTGTGCTTATTCACTGGGTTATCCTTGAATGTCCCTCAGCCGGCAGCTAAATTAGCTTTTCCTGGGTCACACACACACACTCGCCCACAAAATAAAGAAACGTTTGGGTGTGCTGGATAAAACAAACACAGAAGCAAAAAACAGCAGCAGCAGCAGCAACAATTGAAATGAAACAAAACACAGAGAAAAATGCTGCAAAGTGAAATGCAATGCAGGCGGCTTTGGGTTATAAATAGACTTTGTGGAATGGAAAATGTGGGTGGCCTTTGGGTTTGCAAGAAAATATGGGTGTAGATGGGTTGATTTTGCCCAAGGACCAAAGAAAAAACAGCAGCCCAGCATTCTTTTTAGCTCTTGCTTAGGCACAAAATAAACAAGAAAGGAAGCTAACTTCGGCACGCCGAAGTTTATATACCCTTGCAGATAGAACTTCTATGAATAAAAAACCATACAATACAAATTATACATCTTGTGTTAAAAAAAAAATGAAGTAATACCTGCTTTCATTTCATTCACCTATACATATTATATTGCAGTTTTACAGTCACAGATGTGCATTTTTCCACATCAAACGATCGTTGTATGGCACCTAATGATATAGTCGTCCGATTTTCATGAAATTTACCACAAAATTAAGACTTAAATAATGCCTATACCTAAAATTTGATGAAAATCAGTTGAAAACTGAAAAGGTTATAAATTTAATTGTATTAATTTCTCGATCGTTCCTATGGGAGCTATATGATAGTAGTCCGATTTTCATAAAATTTATGCAAAATGAAGAGTATGTAAAATGTCTATATCTCAAATTTGATCCAATTCTATAAAAACTGAAAAAGTTAAAAAAAAATTTTGTAAAAATTCCGATCATTCCATGGCAGCTATATGATATAGTCGTCGATTCATAAAATTTACACAAATTGTAGAATAATATGAATGGCTATATCTTAAATTTGATCAAATTCTGTTGATAACTAAAATTTTATAATTTTTTTGTAAATCTTTCCGATCATCCTATGACAGCTATATGATAGAGTCGTCCGATCCGGCCCGTTCCGATATATACGAGGAGAGTATATAGAAGGCTAACTACAAAGTTTCATTCAGATAGCTTCAAAACTGAGAGACTAGTTTGCGTAGAAACGGACAGACGGACAGACGGACAGACGGACAGACGGACAGACGGACAGAAGGACAGACGGACAGACGGACAGACGGACAGACGGACATGGCTAGATCGACTCGGCTGTTGATCCTGATCAAGAATATATATACTTATATAGTCGGAGGTGCCTCCTTCACTGCGTTGCAAACTTCTGACTGAAATTATAATACCCTGCAAGGGTATAAAAATTAGATAGAAAGAGAGAATGGTTTGAGAGAAATATATACTTGAAGGGACTGGGATTTAAGAAAATAACCTTCAGATTAAGTGCATATAAATGAATTTTTGAAAATATATGTAGCAAAATTATAGATTATGGAAATAAAAATTTTAGAGGGTTATTGATGATACCTTTTCAAGGATTTTTCGAATTTTTAAAGCTATTCCCTGAGCATTATTATTTCCCTCCCTTTTTGTCACAATTGAGAGGCACCTACGCAAAGATTTTCCTTTGGAAATTCTCTCTTGCTTTTGTAATTTTCTGTCTTTGCCAGACGCCTTCCATTGTCGCTTTTGCCTTTAGCCACACAAAGCTCATCTGGCGCTGTTTTCCCCCAGTTTTCTTTACTTTTTTTGAGGTCTTACATATCTTGTAGAGCTCACACCCTGGTAGTATTCACATGTGAAGGTATTATTTGCTACGTGTCCAGAGCAGAGAGACCCTCATCTCTCTCGCCCACTCATGGCCACTTAATAAATGAAAAACCTCTCACACGAGTTTTGTTTCCCCACTTTATTTGTTTATGACTGTAAGCATTTCTGCAGTGTTTATTATTTGCATTTTGTTTATTTTTTATTTTTTTGTCGTGCATTAGAAACAAAGTCATTTCACTTTCAGTACATGATTTACGCCTACTGTGGGCGATGGATAATTATATATGAGCCCGAAGACGATTTGCATTATCTGTGGCTCATCTGAAGCACCTGGCCAGCTAATTGTATGCCACATGCAAATGCAACATTTACCATTGGGCTAATGCATTGCAGCACGCGCTTTAAAGTCAATGAACGATTCGCAATTCGGAAAATGTATACTCAGCCGCAATTGTGGCACGCAAATGTCAAAGCTTTTTAAAATAGCCATAAAAAACAAAAAAAATTAATAAAAGCAAGCCTAGAATAGAAGCAGACCACACAAAATAGCAACAAACGTTGTAAATTGCTAAGGCAGTAAACATAAAATGTCCTTCTCAGTGGGTTATAAAAAATGTACGCAGTGTTTGCTTTCTCTCAGAGGCAGTTTTGGAATGGGTAAGAGCGAAGCCTTAAATAAATTGGATGAAGGAACATTTTTGAAAGATAATTTATTTCTTTTAATTTGTGGGTCTTTATGGTTTAGTAGAATGTTTTGGAGATGTTTTCAGAGGAATTTTAATATTCTTTTGATGGGTTTAGTATTAGGGTATGAAGAAAAAGGGTGCTATTTAGGAACTTAACCTAGGAAAACCTCTTATGATTATGCAGATGAGGTTGTAGCTTCTTATGGATTTTTACAGACTTTTAAGCATTTTATTTAATAATTAAGTCATTCATTTAATGATTAATATAAGATAATCAATAAATAAACAAAAGGAAATATATTTATACAGAAATAATACTAGAACGATATTTAAACGGATCTTCAAGCATGAATAATAAAAAGAACTCATTGCCTTTACAAAATCAATCTAGAGGTCGTTTTTTAAGCCTTAGAAAAGAACAAAGAACGAAATACTAAACTATCTTATAATAATATATATGAAACAATAAAAAACTCACAAATGAATATGTATATTATAAATATGAATAATAAACATATCCCTTGTAAGAATGTAAATATTTTCTGCTAGTTCAAGTATATATTTCTTCAAATACAAAACTATATTTCCGACTAATGTAGGGGTAAGTCTGTCAAACTGGCGCCTATTGTAGCCACCAAATAATATTTGCATGTGTGAAGGTGGGCTAAGAATGGGTAAGAATGGTAAAGAAATAAATGGCAGGGCCACAAATCAAAGGCAGAAAACATGAAAACAATATGTCAAATGATATTACACATTAAATTAGTTAAGACCAAAACAAATGTGTATAATAAAGCCCACCTGTCGTGCGTGTGTCTGCGGGAGTGCAAATGTGCGAGTGTGCCAAGTTCGTGTGAAGCATGTGTGCTTGGAAAACCCGATTTTCCTTACACCTTTCGCTGCACCTTGTCAAGCTGATTCCCTTCGCTACTTGGGCTCGAGCACATTTTCGCCCCGCCGGCAATTGTCACGTGACATTTTCGTTTGGCCAAAAATTACAAATTTTTATTATTTTTTGTTTTGTATATTTCTTGGTTTGTTTTTTTTTTTTTGGCTTCTGTGGTTGTGTGTTGCATGCATGCTTGGAGGCGTTGCCAAGGTGCGTGTTTCAGTGTTTTGATTTTGTGGCGTGTTTACATTGAAGATGCCACAACACGACAGTCACGTAAAATTAAAGATGAATATTTCTGTATCACAAATAAATTGTATATTATTTATGGAATTTTGTGGGTTTGATATTAATTAAAATTATTAACAACTTTACTTCATGAATATTAATCTTACAAATGTAATAGCTTTAATTACATTCTCAATTGTTCCTGACCTACTATTTATTTAGCTTTTGGTGTTTGTTTTGACTAAAACCGGTATTAGTGTGCATATAATGGATTTTCATGTATGCATGTTGAACACAGATTTAGTGCTAATTATAAGGTTTCTTGCTAATATCTGCTAATGAATTAAGTCGAACTTTAAAACCATTCTTATCGTGCATTCCAACATGCAATGCAGTCTAGCTTTTGAGTCCTTGTGAAAACAACAAAATGAGAGTTGGCCACAATAGCTGTTATTATTTTAATGTATTTTTATGGGAAGGGAAACCTTGTATTAAATTGGTTTAAATGGAAATTGTGTTTAGTTTGAATTATGAAATAAACAGAAAGAAAACTTATTTGGGAAGCCGAAGCAAAATATCCTTACATTATAGGATTGTATCGGAAATCGTTAAAAATAAGCTTATCGATATTTTTATATGAAAATTGATTCGAAAAATCGAAGTTTGAAAACTTCATAACTAAGCCAAAAATGTATTAATTTAAATTGGAAAGCTGTCTCATGTTTGTTTTGTTAGCTTAATAAAACTGAATGCAAAATTTAAAATTAAAAAATTATTTAAAAAATTTCTTTTATTTTTATTTTAAATTTAACGATGTAACCTCCTATAAAAATCGGAAAATTAAAAAAAAATTAATTTTAGCCGAACATAGCTAGATCAATTCGGCTTCGATTCTGATCAAGAATGTATATGATTTATAGGGTCGGAAATGACTCCTTCAAGGCGTTATAAGCTTTGATATCCTGGAAGGGTTTAATTAAGATCATAAAATGATCGTAAATATGATTTAAAATTCATGAAAATAATGCTTGCTTATTTACATTAATTTACAATAATATACAAATATGTATTTCATGAGTCATAAACATTAAAACAAATTAATTTAAATTTAAATTCAAACGTCCTTTCCGAACTTAATATTATCTTATAAACATGATGATAACTTAGTTATTTGGTGGATTGGAAGGATTAAAGGTCTTGAAAAATAGGTATTAACAATGTTTAAAATGTAACACAATTAATATGAAAATGGGTTTATAACACAAAATTAAATAATAAAATTATTAGTAAGAAGAGGTTAGTTAGTGTGGGTTGGTTTTGCTGAAAATCATCGCTCGCACACTTACCTATCCTGAGACGAATTTTAAAGTCCTCGTAATCGCTGGTCTCAATAAAGTTGTTACGCTGCTCCCTGTCCCGGTCCCTTTCTCGCTCCCTTTCCCGTTCACGTTCCCGCTCCCGTTCCCGTTCACGCTCCCGTTCACGCTGAAACTCCTGCATATTGGCCAATTGCTTGTGAAAGAGTTCCTGCTGTGATTGCAGCAGCTCGTGGTGATCCTGCAGAGCGGCCAGCTGGGAGAGCTGTTGCTGGTAGGACGATTGTTGCTGCTGCTGCTGCTGTTGCGGTGGCGGGGATGAGGAGGTCCTTGGTCGCTGATAGGGATGATGATGTAACTGGACCTGATGATGATGATGCCGCTGGAGGGTTCTATTCACTGAATGCTGCTGCTGCTGCTGATGATGATGACTCTGCTGACTGTGACTAAGCTGCTGCTGCTGCTGCTGCTGCTGCATCGGTTGATGACTGCTGACTCGAACCTTTAGCTGGGTGAGCTTGTGGCAGGCATTGGGATCCACCTCGGCGAGGCCAAAGTCCAGCTCGGCCTGGGCCTGAACCTCATAGGCCTGTTGCGCCTGCTGCAGTCGCTCTCTTTCGCTCCGCGGCGAATTGGCCAACTGCTCGGCCGGCGGCTCAATCTCCACCGCCGAATACTCATAGTCGATGCGATGCTGGTGATGATGGTGATGGTGATGATGATGATGAAGAAGCGACTGGCTGCTCTTGCTGTCCGCCGTCACAGCACCGGTGCCGGGCGTGGCGGTGGCTATCTTACCAGCCAGCGCGTCCAGCGAGCTCAACATCTTTGACTTTGTCGCTTGTTGTCGGTGTCAGCGTCAGCAGCTAGTTTTGCTGTCGTCCTTTGGATCGGCTCTAATCCTGCTTATCCAGTTTGGAGGAATTCTATGCGTACCCTCTCTCTCTCTCTATATAGATTTCTTGGAGCCTCTTTATTCATCTCGCTCTCTCGCCTCTTGTTCCCCTTTTTTTTTTTTAATTTAATATCTCTTAACTTTTGTGTGTGAGAAACTATTGCTTATAACTTGCCTGAGGGAGAAGTTTTGGGAGGCGAATTGCAATGGATTAGTAAAGCTTAAATGAATAGTTATTAGTCAAGATAAATTTGATGTTGAATGAGTGGTGGTGTTTGAGGCATTGCACATTATTCCTTGGGCAAATCAAAAATCAAGTCACAGGTTACCAGTATTATTTGTTTGTTTTGTGGCTTAAATAAAGAACCAGTTCACACACCACACCCTCTCATGCACACACACTTCTGCCTGTCTGGCTGTCTGCCTGCCTGCGTGTGTGGTTGCAGAATGCAAACACACTTGAGCTTGAAAGGCAAAAAGGGTAGCAAAGAAAGGAAAGGGATCCTCTGCTTGCCACTCGCATTGTGTGCAGTGTTTGTCCAACCTTTGGTGCACTTTTCCTCCTCCCCGAGTCCAGAGAGAAGGACACAAGCCAAAGTCCTACCTGCTTTTGTGGTCAAAATAATTGGGGGACACATGCAAATGATATAAATCAACAAAGAGAGCTACAAATTTAAAACAAGAAAGTCTTGTACATATATTTAAATATGGTTTTTAATTAAGGAAAGTATACAAAAGTCTTTATAATAATAAAACCCACAACTTCAAAGCAGCTTAACCCTGTCAACTCCCTTAAGCACCACTTGACACACAACCCTTAGATTAAGTATCTCTAAGATACATTGAATTACGACAAAAATCTTAGTTTACTATGCAAAAGGCTCTTGTGCCATCTCTCAGTTACGATTATTTGTGGATTATCTCAGGTACCAGGACAATGAATTTAGATTGCAATACTTGTGGTTAGCCAGAAGACTCTAGAGAATGCCAGCAGAAAGGAGTTGAGCAAGTAGCAAGTTGACCACATTTCATGCTAGTATCTAGACATTGTCCTGCTACCCAAGCACTACATCCTTATCCTTATCCTTAACCAACTCCACTCCACTCAACACCTGCAATATCTTCAATCAAATTTCCAGCTTACAACAAAGATCCATTGTTGTTGTGGCCAAAGCTACCTAGGGTTTTTTTTATATCTACAAAAGAGAAAAAATATATATACAAGAAGGTTTGCTTAGTATCTGTCCTCGTAGTGATGATTGAGGGAGTGGTAGTAAAGGACGAAGGATACCTCCTCTCCTCTCCTTGATGTTTGTTGTATGACATACTATAAAAGTCAACTTGAATGCACTGTGTAAATTTCACCACATTTCTTTTTCTCCAGAAGCCCCATTTTCACTGTCTAGTGCCAGGGCTTGCAACTTTAAGTAGTTCTCCTGAACCCACCCACATCTACTTCCTTCTTTCTCTATCCGGCAAATGTTGGTTGCATTTGAAAGGAATTTGCCTTTTACAAGATTTACTCTTTGCAATTTACACGCGTCGACCGCTTTCCATAAGCACACAAATGCATCTGAAATACATCTACAGTGGGGGTTGCAAAGATAGTACTCTAGGTTTGGAAAAAATTTGAAAAAATATTATGTCAATTAATCATTTAAATACTAAATCCAATTTGTAAGCTGAGAAACTGTTAAGAATGCGTTCAAATGCTTTAATTTTTCTTTTTTAAACGGCCTCCTAAATAGATTTTGTGCCCAACCCTGCCAAATTTTATAAAATATATTAACGAAAACCTTCAGAAATTAAAATTATTATATTCTTGGACTTAGAAAATGAACATGAGATAACAAATGTGTTGTAAAATAAATCATTGTCCTAGAATTTATTTCCCAGAATTTCTACAAGCTCTATTTAGTTTTAATACCTACAATTATGACCTTAACTGTACCATATGCACCAGTATTTGTTTGGCTGTTGCAAGCCGTTGGCTTTGTAAATGTTACTTCCTTATTACATGGCATTATATTATTGCAGATACACACAGAAAGACTCGGCTATCAAAGTAGTCCCAGCCACATAAGGCCAAGAGAAATACATAGAAGTAGAAGCTGGAGTAACGCAGAGAAAATGAGAATGTAGGAAAAGCTTGTTAAATGTTTTCCAGGATGTTTGCCCACGCAGGATGTCTTTGCAGGCAACAGAAACGGAAAGAAAGAAATCTCGGTGCTTGTAATTAGCAAAATGCAAGCAGATCTCTTAGGAAGCGCAATTTGAAGATTAATTTTTAAAGACTTGTTAATTAAAAAGCATAGAAAACTATAAGCTAAATGCAATCTAAAAACTTAATAAAAAAAAGGTATTATATAAAAAGCAAAAAGATTTGAAATAATTTAAAGAACCGTATAAAATAACTTTTTAAAGAAGCTGCATTAATTCCATAATAAACTCAAATTTCCCTTTAATCCTTTAGAAAACAATTCAGCAAACTTAATTAGTCATTCTGTTAATTGCATTCAAAGGATATCAAGCTCAACCCACAGCCTCAAGGCAAAAGGACTCGTTCCAGACAGCTGAAAGTCAGCAGTTCCACATTTTGTCCTTTTCATTAGCAATCGCATAATAGAATTTGAAAAGGCTTTAAGAACTGCACTCCCCTCTCGTACTCTCTCTCTTTCTCTCTGTGTGTGGGTGTTATCAAAACTAACAATGGAAAAAGGAACAAGAATGATGGGGAAAAATTAAAAAAATAAAACCGAGAAAAGAAATCGCGCTAGACGAGAAAATTCTCAGAGCTTCAAAGACAAGCGCGCCATAACCCAAAAACATAAATCCTTTGGAAACAAAAAGAATAGAGCGAATGCGAAAATGGAAAAAATGAATATGCTAGCAGTTTCCAGAGAGATATATACTATATAGAAGTGAGGCGAAAAAAGTTGATAAGCGGCAACGGGAAAAGCTCTTTAACACCCAGGAAAATGAAAAAATAAAAAACTTAAAGAGAAGACACATTGAATGCGGATTTAAACATATAAAAAGAAAATAATGAGAATTTGAAGGATTGAGAGTCGCATAAAGTGATTTATGGCTGTTACAATATAAGTTTCTTTAAGTAAATATAGTAGATGATAGGAAAATTCCTTTCTAAATAAGAATATTTTATTAGATTCTAGTCCCTATGCACATTATGTATTTACTTATACTTTTCAAACCATCACCCATTATAAGCTCAAGAGTAAATACGTTCTTAATATGCAATTATCTGAGATACAATTTCCTGTACAATATTTTCCAAGAATAAGAGTATATAATATAGATTTTGACCCAGCATTAAATCAATTGAAGCGTTTCTTGCAATAACAACAAATGCTGGTTGTGATATTGGAAGGAGTAGAATACTCGCTTGGACAGACAAATCACTTGTATAAATTGTCAGCTGGCAATTTAATAAACAATGCAAACTCAGGGCTAAAATAATTAGACATTTATGGACATGTGCCCCGGGGCTATGGAGATGTAAATGTAAATGTAAATGAATCAAGTAACTAATTAAGCAGGAGGCCAGGCAAGGCCTCGAAGGATGGCCCAGAAACCCGAATAATAATACCGATTTCTCTTCATAAATCAGACAAGTATTTTCCTCTGAAAATCAGCTACATATTGTTCTCTTTAAAGCCTTGTGGCTTGGAAAAGCTGCTTGGAAAATTCGGAAATTAAATATGGCACACAATGGCCATGGTTGCTTTTTGGTTTATCAAGAAGCAAGTCTCAACCGCAACAAACCCCCAAAAGTCACGATGAGCAGGAGAAAGCAATTACTTTCTGCTTTGCTTGTTGCTTCTCCTAGAAGAAGTCTTTCCTTTTCCCCCGGAAAAAAAAGAAGGAAAATTTTTGGGGAATAGAAAACTTTTTGTGGCCCTGACAGCAGTTTATGCTACACTTGCTTCGACTCAAACTGTCAATATTTTACTTTAAGACGCACGGCCACAATGGCTGTGGAGAGTAGAAAGTCGAGTCGAGTGGCAGAGCCACATCATTTGCTATAAATTCACTTCATGCTTGTGCTACTTGCTCCAGCTCCTTGGTCCTTGGTCCTTGTTGCTCCTGCTCGTGCTATAACGACCCAAAACTCAACGGAACAGAACAACAAAGTGGTAAATTCTGTTTTCGGGGGTGGTTCCAGACATAAATTTCGCCCTCTTGATTTTATTTTCCAACTGGTATTACAAGGAAATAAATTAAAATTTACAAATGTCTCGTAAAGAAATTTAAGGAATTTAAAACGAGAAGGGTAGAAAACAATAGGAGATATTTGTATATTAAATATACTTGTAAAGTGAGGCTTAGAATTCGGTCCCTATTTGAAACCTTCTCTTCCTGTACTTTGTGGTCTTTGCTGAGCATGTGTTTCTCTGGCAGATTTAAGACGAAACCAAAACCCACACTATTCCCAGATCGAAAGCACCCACAAATTTTGAGGTCAACTTGGGGAGGGACTGGCATAAATCTGAGAGTAAACTACACCGAGAGGCAACACAAACCCAAGCCCAAACCGTCTTGGACAGGACGGGACGGGACAGGACTCCTTTGGGCAAGAGCGAGTCCTTGGTAGTGGACTTTGAACCCCATGTTGATGCTGGTAATCAAGGCATTAAGTGTGTTTACTGTTTATTTATTAGACTTTAAGGCTTAATAGCTTAGTCGAGAGAATTTTTGGGGCCAGCCTTTTGTTTTCGCTCTCAACCATTCAAGTATTTAATTAAAGTCAACTTTGATTTAATTAAAAGTTCTAGCACTGGACCAATATTTAGCTCATGAATTATTTATGCCAACAAGTGAAGTTAAAACAAAAAAAAAAAAAGAAATAGGAGCCCAAACTGATTAAGCCAAATAAACATAAAAAAGGAAAGAAGTAATGGCTGAAAAGGTGAAAAAAACAGGAAGTGCGACAAGTTACAAGTTTTCACCGCAAAATAAGGAAAACTCTTACTCTCATTAGCAAGAAACTTTGTCCAGGACGGAGACTATAACCTTTCGTATTTTTCCCTTAATATTCCTTCCTCTTTTTGAATGGCCAACTTTTCGTTTAACTTGTTTATATATATTTTTTTTTATTTTTTGCCCGCCTTCTTTGCTATTTATCTCGTCCAGGACTTGGTCAATTTCCTGGTCAGTTTTGTAACTTTGTCGACGTGTCCCAGCCATCGACTGTCGTTGTATTTTTCTTTGTTGTTAATCTGTCAATTTTCGTGGAAATTTTCTGCAATTGCACTTATCTTGGCGAAAGCACACTTTTCCGGAAAATATTTATTATTGTGCTTGGCGGGATTTGTATATAGCAATTTATTATAGAGTTTTGTTGATTGCATATTCCAGCAAGTTTTTTGCTTTTCAAGTTATTGCTTTCTTTATTTGCATTGACAACTCCTGTGGAAGACAAGTTAAATTATTTTACATATTTTCTTAAAAGAAATTTACACACTTGAGCTGAAGCAAAAATATTTTTTTTCGAGTTCAAACAAATGCAAAGAAAAACAATCAAGAGTGAGCAGAAATATTGAAATTAAAGATTTTGAATGAAGAAAAATAAAGGAGCCATTTTAATTTCAATTTGATTTTATTGTAATACCCTGTAATGCGGAAGGGTCTACCCTATTTGTAGAAATTAATTGTAGAATGCAATATCAATCTAACAAAATATAATGTTACATTGAAATGAGAGATCCTAAAAGCATTTTAATACATTTTTACACAAATTGTTGTTATTATGAAAATATGTTTTTCTAGATTAACTTGCTGACATTAGTAACTTTATTCTATATATTTATCTTTTTCTTATATTGAAAGTCATGCCACCCGCACTGACCTAGTATAAATATTAAAATAGAAGCTGAACCTAAAATCCACTCACACCGAACACCGACTGGGGAACAACTGCGACGACTCTGTAATAACTTATATTATTTCTGTTATCTATTTGACCAAAATTGCAAACTGCAAAATTGTCGAAACAGGGAAACGGACAGAGTTGTTGTCCTGGTTGGTCTCATGAAATTTCTATTGGCTCGAGTGTGGGTGGATTTTTGTGAAATACACACACACACAGAGAAAGAGAGAACTGCCATTGTTGTGTCAGTTTCATGCTCATGTTCCGTGTGCACACTATGCGCTGTTTGTTGTTTATGCAAATCTCAAATGCCTCGTAAAACTAAATGAACAGACAACACAGTAGGCAACAGAAGAACACAAAAAATATGAGAAAATTTCATATTGAAAATAAGTTGTTGCCCTCTGCGCCTGTGGATGATGAAAAACTGAAGTGTTTGCATTTGGGAGAGATATAGAAAAGGTTCCAAAAAAAAAAGGTATGTAAAAGATACAAGTTCAAGTTAGAATTACATAAAAGGGAAATTTTTATGGCTAAACTGCTTAATTATTATTTACTAACCCATACGATTTATTTTAATGACTTATACAGCAGTACACAGTAATAACAGTATTTTATGTTTGTATCAAAAATTTAAACTAATTTGAATCAGTCAATAACTATGATCAGTAAGTATCTATGACCAGTAACTATGTATGATCAATTACTAACTTTGAAAACTTTTCCAGTTTTTAACAGATTTTCATCAAGTTTGATATATAATTAATCTAGAATTTTGTGTAAAATTTTATGAAAATCTGACTTCTATATCATATAGCTGCCATACAAAAGATCGTTCTGTTTGCAATTCATCTTTAATTTCTTTATTTGTCTAAAGCAAACTTCCTTTTAAATATTCCCACATAAACAGCCTCTTAAATCTCAAGATCATCATGTAACCCCAAAGGAGTTAAATGAGTTCTTACTTACACTCTCTCTGCAGGCTTGGTGGAGTACAAGAAGCAAGTCCACGGAGTTGGCATCTGTTCTGCTGGAATTTATTTAGTAGTTATTGTGATAAAAACTTTGATTTAACACAGATTTTATAATAGCCAAATGTTGGATTTAAACTCAAATTTAATTAGAAACTTATAGTTTCAAGAAGAAGAACAAAATAATTGTGTTTGCTACGGTGCTTAAGTACACTGGTTGAGAAGCGCAGAGGAGGGCACTTTTTTTTAGATAGTGAATGCGGGGAAAGTATTATTTTTGAGAGAGAGTAAAAGAGAGGCAAACAAAATTTGGTTTTTTGAGAAGCGTAGGGAAGGTCTCATTATTTATTTTGGAATAATGAGAATTTGAGTTAGTAAAAAATATGTAATAAATCCGTAAAATTGATCAAAATATAACATACTGAGCCTTGGTTTTTGTTCTTTTTAACTATCTATAACCAGTAATTAACTCTGAACATTAAGTATCTATGAGCATTAAGTAATTATATTCAATAAGTAACTCTAACAAGTAATTAACTATGATCAGTAAGTCTCTATGAACATTAAGTAACTATGATCAGTAAGTAACTCTGAACAGCAAGTATCTACGACCAGTAAGTATGTATGTATGTATGATCAGTTACTAGCTTTGAACACTAATAAACAATGACTTGCAACTTTGTAACAACACATTTTCGAGACTTGGCCGGCAGAAGTCACTTCGTTCCGGGGATGTTAGAATCAGTTGGGAATCATATGCACAGATGTGCGAGATTTGTTTTGGATCAAAATTAATAGCAAACTATTTGAGTGAAAGTATGCAGTTGATCTTTATATACTTTTACAAGGTTATAAATCTGAGCACGCCAAATCAATGGATTATATATATATATAGCTGCCATAGGAAGAATTGAAAGATTTATAGAACTATGATCAGTAATTAACTATGATCAGTAAGTTTCTATGAACACTAAGTAACTCTGGATAGTAAGCAACTATGATCAGTAAGTACATATGACCAGTAAGTAAGTTAATCAGTAAGTATCAATGATCAGTAATTAACTTTATGCAGCAAGTTAATATGAGCAGTGAGTAACTCTGAATCAGTAAGTTTCTATGAACATTAAGTAACTCTGAACAGTAAGCACCTATGACCAGTTAGTAACTATGATTAGTAAGTATCTATAATATTTGCCAACAATTTCTTCGGTCCCAGAAATAAATTTTAGTTCCTGCTAGTAGATATTGTTAGAAAAAAAAAGGAATACATCCAATCCTATGTATATCTAAACATTTTAAAGCTTTTAGCTATATCTAATTTGGACTCGTTCTTATCTACAATTAATTCCACCCTAAAGAGACCTTCCCAGCCAGGAACTTCCACCACCTCCACCACCACCTTCCTTCTTCTTCACGACGTGTCCAAAGCAATTAACACATTGTCCACCTTTTTAATGCTCTTGAAGCCAAAAGCAAAATGCCAAAACACTTTCCAGCTCTTGGCCATCGATGAGAGGGTCAAAAGCCGAAAGGAAAATACAGAAACATTGCGTGCCAAACACTCGCAAACTAAACAATTTTATATATCAGACCAAAGGCGCTCTCCACCTTTTTTATTGGCTCGGACGAATATTTATGGACCCACACACGCAGCCGGCGGCACATTTCTCATTTAACTGCCTTCACCATTTGCTAATTAATTCGAGAAATTCCATTTATTTCAACGCTGAGAAACAACTAAATTTCTATCCAGACTCGGACAAGGAATGTCCAAATCAATTTGTGTTGCGTTTTGGCTTTTTCGACATTCGGGCAAACGAGATTTGTGCTTTACGACTTTTTGGGCAGGAGGCGCAACTCCTTCCACAATTGCGTGTTTTCTCATCAGGTTTGGCAAAAGTTAGGATCGTTTAACTTCTGACCAGTAAACTGCTCACGCAAAAATATTTTTGTACGAAATCAAATTAATGGCGTCCCGTTGATGTTTTATTAATTTATACGGCTTTCCTCCTCTCACGCGTTCCGTGAGACGAAATAAATTATATTGCTCATACGACGCGTGGTTGCATTATTGAGTAATTAAATACTAATTAAAGCGTAACATGAGCCAATTCCCCAGATTTTTATGGGAAGCCTTACTGCTGCTGCTGTTGTTGACGGGAAATTGTGGCCGGATAAAAATAATACAACGTTAACGAGGAAATAGTCGACTTTGGTTCTTATCTCTGGATTGCGTCAGCTTTAATTAGTTGGAATGAGTATTGTGGGTCTTGTTCTCTTTTAATTGCAAGGGATTTATATTTAACGTAATTGGATGTAAAGTAAAAACGGGATTTTAATTAATGTTTTAAATATAAGTTGTGTATTGAAAACTACACTTCAAATATATATTTTTCTGCAACAGGAAGCCTAAGCTGTATTGAATATTTATCCCGCTATCATTTTAAGACCAACGGCATAAACCTTTTAAGGAAATCCATAAAATCAAAGACAGGCAGAGACGGGTTTAAATAACAAATTAACCGAAAAGCGTATCCTTAGGGCCATTTTGCACGGCTAGACGACTTTTGGTCCTGTTTAATTGCTCCGCAGTGATTTGCATTCTCTGTTGTTGTTAAAACCAGAAGCCAGACATTGAGAGCATGGGCCACATAAATGACACTTGTCTGGCTTTTCGCTCTCGGTTTGGGAAAACTCCTCCAAACTGAACTAATTACTAGGAGAGTTTCCCCTGACTCCCTTGAGAATGGCGACGATGTCGGTATATGCATATTTTTTATATATATTTATTTATTTTTTATGTGACTGATAAATGCAATAAACTTTGACAATATTGCACAGAGCATTGTCGTTTGATAAAAATTCATATAAATATATTGGATATCTCTCGTTTGCTTTTTCCAGTAACAATTTTTGTTTGTTTTTATTTTCTGTATGTGTGTGTTTTTTTTTTATTTTTTGCCGACATGTCACTCAAATTGCGCGACGTTCGATTCTGTTTGCCCGACTTCCTGTTCTTGTTGTTTGCTCTTGTTGTATATATATCCTATCATAATCTTTACTGACACGCGATGGTTTCGCTCCCGTTCTTGTTCCCATTTCCCGGTTTTTTTTTTATTGTTATCCTTCGTTTGTTTTCCATCGACTGTGTGTTGTCCCTTCAAATATGGCTGCGACCCATCAATTTGA